AAGGGCTTAAGTGGAGAGCAAATGTTTTGAGAATGATGAGGGCAATGAATGTACAAATGTGCTTTACACTATGGATGTATGTATGGACTGTGATAAGAGTTGTATGAGCCCCTAATAATAAACGATTAAAAAAAAGAGAATGAATATAAAAAAAAGAAAGAAAAATTACTAAATTAAGTAGTAATAAAAGAAATGCTCCACAGATTGGCAAAGATCAAATAATCTGGCAACACAGTAAATCCTAGAACACAAATGCTGTCAAATACTCCTGGTGGATGTGCCAAATACTACAATTTCTCTGGAGGACAATTTAGCAGCATCTATCATGATCACATATGTAAGTACCTTTGACTTTGATGTCTCATTTATTTTATAAACATGTCAACTCTCACTGTGCATGAAATAATCTATATGTAAATAATTTATACACAAAGCCATTCAATATTGTAATGACAATAATAACAGTAACATATGATGAGGTCACCCCCAAAAAAACCCCAGAATTGTGCTGGGCAGAGTAGAGCTTTCATAGCATGCATGCTTCCCACTAGACAAGCATCAAGCAACCCACTGAGTTAGGGTACCCAGTGGTGTCACCTTGGGAAGGTTCTCTCTGGTCACAGTGAATTTTTTCATAAAAGCAGTTTCGCTTGAACCTTGTGTTTTGTGAAGGCCGATTTAAGAGAATAGCATGCAGCAGTTTCTGCTCGGGAACAATGCTACAGTAAGTATTGTCATGTTGAACACAGCTTACAAGGAAGGACAGCACTATAGGATAAACTCAAGTGTACAGGTAGTTTTCTCTTTTCAAAAAAGATGAAATGTGTTGTTTTATGACAAACCACATTCTGGATGTTCATCAACTTCCCAAACAGACCAAAATATCAACTTGTGCATTTGGAGGTCAGCGTGTTAATCAGCATTCTATTTAGAGGTTCTGAAAAGATTGCAAAACAGTGTGTGACAAATTGGCCTGATTTGTGGCATAAGGGCCTGGTTTTGTTACCACAACAACGCACCTGCTCAACAGCCATCACAGGGTGCCAGTTTGGGGCAAAAATTAGTGTGCCTCTCGTGCCCCACTCACCTGATTCACCTGACCTCGCTCAGTGAAACTTCTTTTTGTTTCTGAGAATGCAGAGGGATATGAAAGGACAGATTTGATGACATAGAAGAGGTGAAGAAAAAAATGGGGGAGGTGCTGTCAGCCATCTGAACAGATGAGTCTGAAAACTGTTTCCAAGAATGGAATTGCAGATTGGACAAATGGAGAGTACTTTGAAGATGATAAGGGTGTTTGTAAAAAAAATTAAATACACAGCTTTGAAAAAATTCCGGTTTGGGGGTGGTGGAAATACCTCCTCTTATGTTCAGCTCACACATAACGACTAAAGCCATACACCTAAGCATTTTATATATTTTCTCATGTAACCATCCTAACCATCCTCTAAGACAGGTACAAGCAACATCCCCACTGTACAAATGGAAAAAAGAACTCAAGTATAAATATCACAGCATCATATATTTAGTGTGGAGCCAGGATTTGAACCCAGGCAGTGTAACTCCAAACGCATGCTTTTAACTAAACACTCTATGTATATGTCAGCAGTTATATAAACAGTTAAATAAAACAGCACACTCATTCAAAGCAATGATTGTTTTCACAAATATTTTAGGAAATAAAGCTCCTTTAATTTCTCCTCCTACTTTCAGGGTGGACAGGACTTAGTAACTCATTCCCAAAAACAGAGTATGGGAAATGTAGTAGCGTCACAGCAAAGAAACGTGGCAAATCCCACCTTAACTAATGACCACGGTTAATATCACCGGTGATATCATGGAAGTACCAGGCACTCCACTCCTGCCCTGCATGCGGGGCCCAGAAGGCCAACCCAGCTTTGAAGAGTCTTTCCAAAAACATCTAATCATGAGAAAAACATCAGACAAACCAAAATTGAGAAAGATAAAGTTCTGTCTAGTTAGCATTTCTCAAAACTGTCAAGGTTACGGAAAGCAGGTAAAGGCTGAGAGGCTGTCAGAGGCCTGAGGAGACATGACAACTCAATGTAGTGTGTGGTATTCTGGATGGGAACCTGCAACAGAACAAGAGCCTTAATGAAAAGCTGATTGTCTTCGTTTCTCAGGGCTGCCATAGCAAAATATCATGGCTTTGAAGAGCTTATTTCCTCACAGTTCCAGAGGCTACAAGTTCAAATCTGGGTCTCAGGAAGTTGGTCCACTCGGGGCCTCTCTTGTGTGTCTGGTGACTGCCAACAATCGCTGGCCTCCATTCGCCTCCTCTTGACATCTGCCCGTTGCTTGCCTCTGTGCCTGCGTTTCCTTTGGTAAGACAGCACTCAGAAGAGATTTAGGCTTAGGACCCACTCTACTCCAGAACGACATCACTAATATTAACAAATG